GTACCGAAAAATATGGTAGTTGATCTATGTTGTAAGCCTAAGCCAAACGATTTTTCTGACTTTGGTTAGGGCCCGGCATGGCCAGGTGGTTAGGGCGCTCGACTCGCAATCTGATGGGTTCGAATCCACGTCACACCAAACATGCTCGCCCTTTCAGCCGTGACCCAATGACTAGTTAGTGTGTAGTCATTTCAACGACTTATTTGTTTCGGTATCAAATTCGACGATAATCCTCTAACAAGAATCGATTTATTTCTGATGCTCTTTTCAATAATCATAAGTTGTTTGAAAAATTAAAGAGTTAGCTGTATATCAAAACATATTTTCCCTGTAATTATTGGTGAAAGCTTTGTATTGGTTAGTACGATTGATAAGAACAATAATATATAATTATTTAAAATTTGCCTTTCGTACCATTTCATTTTAAAGCTCAGAATATTATATCCTAATTCTGTAGTTGAATATGAAGATGATACAACGTGGTAAAAACAAACATTTGTTCAATATAACAGCATACATTTTGGATCAATAAATATCACATTGTTTTGTGCCGTCACGCAACAATGACTTTTCCTTCTGAAATTCTCTGAAGTACCGAGCCATTGGAAATATTGTGTTTTCTTGCATTAACAAAATCCGCGATTATATATATATATATATATATATATTAAATATAGTGGAGACTAGACTTTCAAATTCAAAGTAGGTATGACTCTATCCTTTAAAAATATACAGTGAAAAATAACTACTGCGATCCCTATATTACGACAACATGTCAGCTAATGATGTTCTCGTCTTGACAAGTAACAAGCTCACAAATGAGTTGGTGCTGTTACACAGCGCATAATATGTTAAGCTTAGTACACAATATATGTAAAATACTTGAAGAGATAAACAGCTGTTATTTGATCTGGTCAACCAGAACGACACCTGTTGCGATATTTGTGTTAAGCGGCCAGATTAAAAAACTCTAAGATTCAGGCATAGCTGTCTCTATTCTGTAACTGCTGATTAGAGGGAAGACAATCAGTCAGCTGCTTACAGTACTTTTCTTAATTAACCCAAATAGCGACTTACGCTGTCACTAAATCACCAACAGCTGAAAGTGAGAAGAGTATTCAGCGGCATATCTCGGGCTCGAACCTTGGAACGTCCAGTTTGTAGCCTGGAAAAATAACCACTATGGTCACTCCTAGTCCATAAAGCTGTGCGATATAATGTTACTAAATCAATTTTCACACACTCATTTGAGTTGTTTTTGTGCTATTTACAAAGTATACGGGCTTTTTATATTACCTAAAATTTCTTGCAAACAACATAGACTTTGTTATTTATTTGCATGAGTTTTTCTTTTAGAAGGTGGAATATTTTTCTACTATTTAACAGGTTACAACAGAATTACCTTTTATTTGTTACTACATCACATTTTA